CTGGAGCCACCATACACGTCACGAACATGGATTTTTATACTTCGATAGAGATTTGACATCACGGGCATGCGCAACCAGAGTCAATAGAAGCTCCCACACGTTGGATATTGCGTGCCAAGGCAAAGACGGGCACGTTAGTCAAAGATCTTTAGGGTTGACTATGACCTTGATGAAGCTCTATGTCTTCATCTAAACTTATACAATTTAGTAAAAAAATAAAACAGTTGGAAAAGACGACGTTTCGCTGTCATCTTGTGATGATAGCAAAACGTTATCTTTTACAACTAGTTTTCTTACTAAATTGTATACCTAAAAGTACCTTTATCAAATATATTTGTTATATTCCGACAAAAGGAACTTTGAATTTATTTTGTCAAACATTGAATCGCTTATTGTCCCCAGTCCCTGCTTTTCCTCTCCAAGCGTCCAATTCACACCGGAAAACCATTGGAAAACCCCGATTCTACTGAAGCTGGAGGCAAGATAGGTACCGTTCACAGTCTAGTGTGTGAATAAATAAACAAGTATTTTACTAAACGCATCCCACACGGAAAGGAATGAGCGTGCGTTCAAAGCCATTAGCGTCACAATCAAGTTTTTTGAGTATGCTGGTCAAAGCAAGGGGTTAATCATCTACGGTCTGGGGGGCGATGGAAGTATGGTCCTTTTAATGAATCAAAAAGTAAAATCCCAAAATCGTGTTTCCATAGAGCGCAGTTGTTATACCCGTGCAAAAATGAAAATAATAATAAAGTATTACCTTATCCTTTTTATATAGTAAATATACTTAACCAGAAAATTATCAATTTTTTTGAATGCATGGAGGTATTGACCCAGCACCTGATGACTTTCATCATTTTACTTTTACGGGAACCTAATCAAGGTTTATATAGGTGTGATTAATTAACATGCTATTCAAGCTTAGGCCCGTTCACACCCAGAATTGTACACCTAAATATAAATTTAGGCACTGCTTAAAAGCGGAGCTCCCAATTCAATAGGCACAGGGAGCCCAATTTGATAAAACTGTAAGGTGACATAAATTAGTGGGGAGGGGGGCAGGGGATGGGGGAGGGATCTTCGGTTTTTGTTCTTGATCTTCAAGATGAAATTACAGCCATTCTCAATCGCACACGCTCTCTAGCGATCTTTTCTGTCTCGACGAATCACAATCACAAGGCGTTTCCATAACATTGTCGGAAAACACAAAGCTATTAGGGCACGTGCATATAGAATGTCAACGCGTTGATTGACGTCCACCAAAAGCTTCTTCGTCGATCGTCGCGACGGAAACAATCGTGTCATAGCACCCCATATATGGACATCAGTATGATGTAAGTTAGTTATTCTAGGCAAGCCATGACTCGAAGTGAGCACAACGATGCGTGCAACATGATTTCATAATAAAATACATCTAACGAACCAAGAGACTTCGACATGGTGTCAGAATCGTGGGATAACTCAAGCAAGYCAAGATAATTCTCCTCGAGCAATTTCAATTCAACTTCAAGTACTTCAAACACGTTCAATTTCGATATTCAAGTCCAAGAATTCAACYATGGCGGACAAATTCACACCACCGACAATGGACTGGTTGAGTCCAGGCGATATTCACAAGAGATTCAAACTTTTCAAGCAAAAATGTCAACTTATATTCGATGGACCGTTAGAAAAGTCGGCAGAGCAGAAAAAGGTACGTTTTTTGCTGTTATGGATCGGCGATAAAGGTCTTGAAATATACAACACGGCGACATGGGCCAACGAAGGCGACGAGTTAAAACTAGACCCGGTATTTCAACACTTAGAAGCTTATACTAAGCCAAAAAGCAACCATATTTTAGCAAGATTCCAACTTCGAAGTCTCAAACAAGGCGAAATGCCATTAGAAGAATTTGTAACAAAAGCACGAAGTCTTATCGACGATYGTGGATACGACCAGCAGTTCAAAGAYGAGACATTACGCGACACCTTGGTATTTGGCATCAATTCTGATAAAGTACGAAAGGACGCTATTTCTCTCGGAAATAATCTAACATTTCAACAAATCTACGACCTTGCTAAAACAGAGGAAAGCACAAGAGCTCAAATGAAAATTATCACTCAAGGCAACGAAGTTTTCAACAAGGAAACACACTCGATTCGAAGCAAAAGGTCAAGTTCGAAACCACAGGAATCCCAAAAATGGCKGGAAAACGAGAATCGACAGTCAGYGAGCRCCCCTAAACCAAAACCCAGAAAATTCAAGTTCAAGTTCAACGGATGTTTTCGATGCGGCGGAAACCATGAAGAACAAGCACACTGTCCAGCTATCAACGCAATATGTAAATTCTGCAAAAAGAAAGGACATTACTTCAAAGTCTGTATGAAAAGAAAAGTAAAGCAACTACATGAAATCGTCGACGATCCGAACTACGAAGGTCAAGATATACATGTGCAGCCCGACGACGTTGCAGAGTACCCTAGCAATACTTACACTTACGAGGAAGAAGGTTCCAGCGACACTGAGCCAATTACCGTGACATTAGGTTCTGTTTCAACCGAAAACACAGTACATAATGTGAGCAGCCACAAGAACAGAATATATAAACATGTTAAACTTAATGACAAATGTGACGTCATCATGAAAATAGACACTGGAGCGGACACTTGCATACYYACAACCGACRATCTCCAGGTACTACCAATCTCCATCAACTTAGAACCATCGGACAGCATCTTGAGGGGGTATGGGGGATCCAAGATACAAAACCTTGGAGTAACAACGTTAAAAGTCACTTACAACAACAAATCAATCGAGACAAAATTCAACGTAGTTGAAGCACCTGGTAACCCTTCAATGATAGGATGCAAGCAAGCTCAGGACCTTGGAATAATAACAGTAAATATTGAGCACCTTAACTCTATCAACGAGCAAAACACGAAACCATCAAGAGCATATCAAGCTGCGCAGAAAGGCGAGCTTTCGAGATCAATCGTTAAAGAAGACTTCAAAGATTGTTTCGACAAGGTAGGACGCTTTCCAGGAGAAAAGTATCACATTCAACTCATTGATGACCCTAAGCCGGTTATCCATCCTCCACGAACAGTCCCAGTGCACATATTACCACTTTACAAGGCAGAACTAGATAACATGATCAAAGACGACATCATCACAGAAGTGACTGAGCCAACGGAGTGGGTCAACTCTATAGTCTGCAACGTACGCACAACCGAAGACGGAAAGCAAAAAGTACGACTATGCTTAGACCCTAAGGACTTAAACCAGAGCATACGTCGTGAACATTACTACAGCAGGACCATAGACGAAGTACTACCGCAACTACATGGAAAGCAATACTTCTCCGTAGCTGACACGCGGAAAGGTTATTGGCACGTTRAATTAGATAACGCATCCAGCCTGTTGTGTACCTTTAACACTCCAYTCGGCAGGTACAGATTCAAACGTTTRCCCTTCGGAGTAAATGTGTCTCAAGACGTCTTCCAACGCAAGCTAGACGAAGTATACAAAGACATACCAAACGTCACCGGAATCGCGGATGACATCATTATTGCGGGATCGACGCAGCAAGAACACGATCAAGCGTTCCTAAACATGCTCGTGGCAACAAGGAAGAACAACGTAAGCCTTAAGTCAGATAAACTTCAATTCAAACAGCAGAGTGTCAACTTCTACGGACATACACTCACCTCAGAAGGCATCAAGCCATCAAACAACAAACTAGAGACAATCAGGAACATTCAGGCACCAAATAACTCAAAGGAACTACTCACCATACTCGGAATGATCACTTACCTTAATCGATACTCAACAAAGCTAGCACAGCTGACAGCACCTTTAAGAGAGCTGACAAAGAAGAATGCACACTTTAGATGGGAGCAGCGCCACCAGGACGCACTTGACAAGATAAAAGAGGAACTTTGTTCAGTACCAGTGATGTCTTACTATGACCCTGACCCTACCACAGTCACCATCCTTCAATGTGACGCGAGTCAAGAAGGATTAGGCGCGTGGATTCGTCAAATTGATTCAGATGGCAAGGAAAGAATCATCGCAATGTCATCCAGAACACTTACAGACGCCGAGAAGAGATACTCCAACATCGAACGCGAATGCTTAGCTGTAACCTATGGCCTCGAAAAGTTCGAGTACTATTTATTGGGACGGACAACAGTCGTAGAAACGGACCATTCACCCCTTGAACAGATCTTCAAGAAGAACATTGCTGAGGCCCCAGGAAGACTACAAAGACTACTGCTGAGATGTTTAAGATTTAACGTTCAAGTCAAATATAAACCAGGCAAGACAATTCCAGTCGCAGACGCACTGTCAAGAGTATGCCTCAACAGAAAGGCACGATCAGATGAACATCACAAAGAAATCCACTTTGTCACAGACAAGCCCTGTCCTTTTGACATCAACCTAGTGAAATCTACAACCGCACAAGACGCAGAGATGATCAAACTAAAGAACATTATCTTTGAGGGATGGCCTACTTACCGAAAGGAATGCCCACAAGAACTACTAGACTTCTGGAACTTCAGATGCGACCTAGTCTTAGAAGACGGGTTAATCCTYAAAGGCGATAGMATCCTTATACCATCATCACTAAGGAAACAAGTACTGGATACAATTCATCAAGGTCACCAAGGAGAGACGAAATGTATCTTGTTAGCCAGAGAAGCTGTATTCTGGCCAAAGATCAGCAATGACATCAGACAAATGATTAAAGAATGTRAAACTTGCAACAAGTACCAGCCAGCACAAGCTCGACTTCCCATATTGCAACCAGATCTTCCCTCTAGACCATGGGAAAAGTTAGGAACTGATATCTTTGAATTCAACGGTTCAAAGTATCTAATGATTGTAGACTATTACTCAAGATTTCCAGTCGTACGTCCAATTGCTAATATGACAGCTAATACCATATGTAACCACTTCCAGCACGTGTTAGCAGAATATGGATTACCATCACACATTCATGCTGACTTTGGTACGCAGTACATTAGCAAAGAGTTTCGTGAGAAATGTGAAAACACTGGGATCAAGTTAACATTCAGCTCACCCTACCATCACCAAGCGAACAGCGTCGCTGAAAGAGCTATAGRAACAAGCAAATCCTTATGGAAGAAGGCCATAGACGAAAAGAAGTGCCCTTACACAGCACTCTGGATGTACAGAATCACACCCCTAACAAGCACTATACCATCACCTTATGAGTTATTGTATGGACGTAAGCCCCGACTGCTTATTCCAAGCAGCAACCATGTCCTRCAATCCTCACATCCAGACAATGATTACCACAAGGAAGCAATCAGACTCTCCCAAGAGAAACAAGCAGAGTACTATAACAGAAAGGCAAGTAAATCTGACACAAGACCATTACTTGTCGAGGAGCCGGTATATGTGTACAATACGCACAAAAAAACGTGGGACAAGGGTGAAATCACAAGGAAACCAAACCCTACAAGSGAACCAAGGACATACGTTGTCGAGATGAACGGTAAGCTCTACCAGAGAACCAGAGAACATCTAAGACCAAGAACAAGCCAGCTTAAAGAGCCAGAAAGAAGGGCCTACCAAGAAACCCAACCTGCACTTAACATACATCATCCCCAAGACCTACTTGGTAAACCAGCGGTATTGGTACAAGAAAGACCACAGATGACTGAAG